AAAGCATTCTTATGAACAAACATACAAATCAGATGTTAAATGGCCCTGCAAGCAATTGGTTCCATTTCCACAGTACAAAACTTGACCTAGATACTCCATCCACAGTCTTGATCACATTTGTAGGATTTCTGATGCTTTACATGTTAGAATTTATCAATATAAATTTAATACAAATTGGATACTAAACACCATACTTAAATAATTAAATAATAAAATCACATACCATTATTGAATGCCATTGATCTTTAAGCCTGCAAAAGAAACGAACATAAAGAAACAAAATAATTAGAGGCTAAATCTTCCCTTCCCTATTCAACTTCTGTATAGTGACAACTAATGGGTCATGTTGCTCCCTAATTCTATTATTTATAAAGGTAGGGTTTTTTGAACGAGGAGATTTAGCCCTATTATAATAATATTTTGAACACCCCCATCAAGTAACCCATTCTTTAATTCTGGGCTCTACACCTATTCATATCACACCATATAAAACTAAGATAAAACCTAAACTCATTTGGATCACATAACTTTATTGGGCTTTACTAGCTTTCCATTTGACCCATTTTTAAGAAAACTAAATACAATTAGCATAAGCCCACATAGAATTTCCAACATTCTCCCACTTGTGCAATGCTAATTGGTTTTAAATTTTAAACATATTTTAAAACGACTCTCGGGTCAAACACAATTTTAGTGGTCACAAATATAAATTAAAATCTCAATACAGAATTTCATTCAATGAAAATATCAATATTGAACTGTAGTAATCAATGCATCCCTATTCAATGTGAGATCCCTCACAATCGCAAAAATATCAAATATCTCCATCAACATGAATTGAAATAGGTGTGATAAAGTGTAGTGTGGTTCAACATAATATAATCCTTATTATATATATATATAACATGTAAAAACCACAACAATCCTTTTATGATTTCAAAGAAATCCTTTCACGCTTCCTCATGGGAAGACTTTTTCCAATTTCAAAAAAACTTAGGAGTAAACTCCCAACCCTTTTAAATTAATCACTTCAATAGAAGCCTTATACCCTTTATATTTGAAACACATATATATGCCGACGTGAATTCACAGCAAACATGTGCATAAAAGTAAAAGCACATAATAAATTGAAATCTGGTGAAATAAACTTTATTGTTGTAAATACTGAACAGTCATAATGTCTTAAAAAAAATAATAACTAACTCATACTAACCCAATATATCTAAAGAAAATGATAACCCCATGTTTCTCACATGTCTTTCAAAGTCAATGGGTTTAAGTCCTTTTGTTAGTGGGTCAACAAACATATCTTCTGTACCAATATGCTCATACTCAGTATCACCATTATCAACCCATAGCCTGATTTTGAAGTATTTTAACTCTATAAATTTTGCACCATTAGTATTCTTAGTGCTTTTGGAAAATGATACTGTTGAAGAATTATCACAATAAATTTTAAGTGCTTTATAAATGGAATCAATCACTTTCAATTCTGTAGCAAAATTCCTCAACCACTTGGCATGGCCTCCTGCTTCAAAATAGGTTATAACCTCAACTTCCATAGTAGAAGCTACTGGAATAGATTGCTTGGAACTTTTCCAAGAGATTGCACCACCTAGTAGCATAAATATGTAACCAGTAGTGGATTTCCTATTATCTGTACATCCAGCAAAATCAGTATCTGTAAATCCTACCACTTCTAAATTTTCAACCCTTCTATAAACAAGCATGTGATCTCTTGTTTTTCGTAAATATCTCAAGGCCTTCTTTGTAGTAATCCAGTGATCATAACCAGGATTAGACAAATATCTGCGAAGTATACTAGTTGCAAAAGCCATATGTGGTCTGGTACACACTTGTGAATACATTAAACTCCCAACAACACTACTATAAGGAACTCCCTTCATCTGCTCCTTCTCAAGATTATTTTTAGGACATTGTTTAGTACTCAATTTGTTTCCTTTATTTATTGGATCCACACCAGCTCTACAATCCTTTAAACCAAATTTGTCAAGAACCTTATCAATATAGGCTCTTTATGAAAGTCCCAACATTTTCTTAGATCTATCCCTATGGATTTCTACCCCTAGAACAAAGGTAGCCTCTCCTAGATCTTTCATGTCAAAGGTTTTAGAAAGAATCCTTTGGATATCCAACAATAATTCCATATCATTACTAGTAAGTAAAATATCATCTACATATAATACTAAGAAAATATATCTACTCCTACTGACCTTGAGATATATACAATTTTCAATAGTATTCTCTACAAAACCTAGGGATGTGACTACCTCATGAAACTTTAGATACCATTGTCTAGAAGCTTCCTTTAAACTATAAATATATTTCTTCAATTTACATACCATGTGCTCATTCCCTTCTACCTCAAAGCCTTCCACTTGCATCATGTACACCTCTTCTAACAAGTCCCCATTTAGGAAAGCAATCTTAACATCCATTTGATGAAGCTCAAGATCAAAATGTGCTATTAAAGCCATTATAATTCTAAAAGAATCTTTAGAAGAGACCATAGAAAAAGTCTCTCTATAGTCTATTCCTTCCTTCTGTATATACCCTTTTGCAACTAGTCTAGCCTTAAACCTTTTAATCTTTCCTTTTGCATCCTTCTTGGTTTTATAAATCCATTTACAATCAATGGGTTTAAAACCAACAGGAATTTCCACCAATTCCCAAACTCCATTACCATACATAGATGACATGTCTTCTTTCATGGCAAATTGCCATTTATCTGACTGTGGACTTCTAATGGCTTCAGAAAAGGTTACTGGGTCTACAATCGTCCCAAAGTCATAATCTACCTCCCCTGAATAGACTACAAAATCATCTGATATAGTAGGTCTTCTTTCTTTCTGAGACCTTCTAGTGGGAACTGTAGGATCTAGTTGAGTATTTTATAAATTATCAAAAGATATAGGCTGATTCGTCTTATCTTGTTGGTTTCTACTCTCTGACATTGGCACCACCTCCTCATATATATTAGATAATTGCATAGTTGTTGAAGGTTTCTCAAAACTTGACAAAAGACTATCCTTGTCACGTGAACAACCACTATCTCCAACATCTTCCTCTAGAAATTTTGTTGTCATAAACTCAACAATCCTTGTGCTATTTCCTGGGCAATAAGACCTATAGCCTTTAGAAGTTGCTAGGTAACCGATAAAAAATCCAGGTATTATTCTAGGATCAAGTTTTTTCTCATTAGGATTATAAATTTTAATTTCTACAGGACACCCCCAAACTTTTAAATGATTTAAACTAGGTTTTCTACCTGTCTATAGTTCAAAAGGTGTTTTGGACATAGAATTACTAGGTATTCGATTTAGGATACACATTGCTGTTTTCAAAGCTTCCCCCCAAAGGGATTTGGGTAACCTCTACTCATCATACTTCTCAGTGTGTCTTTCAAAGTGCGATTCCGGCGTTCAGCCACACCATTCTATTCAGGAGTTCTAGGCATTGTGTACTGTGCCACAATACCACAATTTTATAGGAAATCAACAAAAGGTCCCTGAGACTAACCCAAATCTCTATGTTTCCCATAATATTCACCACCATGATTAGACCTAACAACCTTGATAACCTTCCCAACTTGTTTTTCAACTTCAGCCTTAAAAATTTTTAATTTGTCTAAGGCCTTAGATTTTTGATTAATTAGATAGACATGTGATGGCTCTGATACCACATGTTAGAATTTATCAATATAAATTTAACACAAATTAGATACTAAAGACCATACTTAAATAATTAAATAATAAAATCACATACCATTATTGAATGCCATTGATCTTTAAGCCCACAAAAGAAATGAACAGAAAGAAACAAAATAATTAAATGCTAAATCTTCTCCTCCTTATTTAACTTCTGTATAGTGATAACCAATGGGTTATGTCGCTCCCTAACTCTACTATTTATAGAGGTAGGGTTTTCTGAACGGGAGAGGAGACATAACCCTATTATAATAATATTTTGGGCACCCAAATCAAGTAGTCCATCCTTTAATTCTGGACGTTACACCTATTCATATCACACCATATAAAATTAAGATAAAACCTAAACCCATTTGGATCACATAACTTTATTGGGTTTTATCAGTTTTCCATTTGACCCATTTTTAAGAAAACTAAATACAATTAGCATAAGTCCACATAAAATTTCCAACATTACAAGGATTGTCTTGATTCTAAACAAGCAATTTTTCTTTGATGCTTAGGTTCAAACACCTGGTAAATAAATCTTTGATTTCTCCACAACCAAATGGACCAAACAATTGCACATACACCAAACCACATATCTAGGTTTCCTGAATCCTAATTTTCCTTTGATTGCCTAGAGTTCACATAAAAGGATTGGGTATCTAAGACATGCCTGAAGAGCCTTGGTTTGTAGTCACTTTTATATTGTGAAATAAAACCCTTATTTTTTCAAGCAATTACAAAATTGGTTCTCCAACAAAATGAGACAGGTTAGATGAGTCCACCGACACCTTCTCCACTTATGCTGCCTTTTTTCTTTTAACTGGGGTCCATATTCTGTCACCATTATTTTTTTCTTTTAGTTGTTTTAACCATTTGGACCTCTTCAGTATCTTCATCTTGTCATTAGAAACAAATCAAAGGAGTTTAAATAAGTATAACATCTCCCTTGTTAATGAGCTTTATTGTAGTTTTATGAACAACATTTATACCTTTACATCCTTTGGCTTGTCATAAGTCGAAATTGTGTTAGTCTGAGCACTGGCTATGTTAAGTGGGAAAATCCCACATCGAGTATAAAAATAAAAAGCTTGTGGGTTAAATATAAGGAATGCCACTCCACTTATTGCCAATTGGTTTTAAGTTGGATGCAAGCCTTGTGTTGAGCCCACATGCACAATCTTCACATGGTATCAGAACCCAGATTCTATCATGGGAAGCCCATTGTTAGCCCACCTGATAGGATCCGAAGTTAAAGATACAATGCTTGCATTTAAGGGGGCGTGTTAAGCAACATGACAGAACTCGACATTCATAACGGGTCTGCATGTGAGGGGGCGTGTTGAATGGGCGTGTTGAGTGGGAAAATCCCACATCGAATATAAAAGTAAGAAGCTTATGGATTAAATATAAAGAAGGCCACTCCACTTATTTCCAATTGGTTTTAGGTTGGATGCAAATCTTGTGTTGAACCCATATGCACAATTTCACATGGTATCAAAGCCTAGATTTTGTCCTGGGAAACCCGTTATTAGCCCACCTGACAAGACCCGAAGTTGAAGATATCGGGTCTACATTTAAGGGGGCGTGTTAACTTACGTGACAGGATTCGACATTCATAACGGGCCTGCACGTAAGGAGGCGTGAAAAGTGGGAAAATCTGCAAGATTCGAGAGGAAGAGAAACATTGCAGAATGACTCGTACATGTAGCTAAATATTGACAAACTTGATCCTAGGGACAATACCTTAATTTTTGCTGCATCACATAATCCTCCAACAAAAAACTTGAAGAACTTACGGTTCAAAGTGCGTGCAATTGAACGACTAATGCTAGTTTTGCATACACCAGGTGGACCAGCGAGACAAATAATTATTCCTGTGATCATTAGTAACACAAAATTTCATATGAATTCAACTTCAAACATCAATTTTCAAAGTACAATACCCATTTGGACAGTAAAGTTTACTGTAACATCCTGGTATTGCATTAATACACATACAAATACCTTTAAATGAACCATTGAGTATTCCAATAGCTATAAATTCCAAGATTCTTTCCTTAACAACATTTAATCCATAATGGTCTTCATCTAGAATTTCCTTTGCTTGATTGATATCCAAATTATCCTCACTACTTGGAGAATTTTTTTCTTTTAGGAAAAAAAGGCTTACTAAATGCAAAAGAGAAGACAATCAAACACGAGTAACCAAACCTGTAACTTCCCCAAAGAAGTGCAGTTAGCCAATCCACATAGTTGTATGCAACTTCGAATTCACTTGAACTAAGATGCAACTGCTTTAACCTTTTAAGCACTTCCTCTGATACTTGAAATACATGAGGTGGGTATTTCTCTCTATTACTATTAAGTTTTTCCTTAAACTTTGCTATAGGAAACAACATAAAGTTACTTTGGTGTTTCACAATATAAAAAATGAGAGCCTGTAGTTTAGCACAATGGAGCATTTATAGAATACCGTTTGGGAGTAGAGTTTTTGCAAAAGTGATAAATTATGAGTTTACCTAAAATAATTATTATAAACTTAATGAATCGATAGAAGTTTAGTCTCTAAAATTTTCCTACTGTCATTCTTACTCCTCTTTTCTTTATTTTATGATAAGAACTAAAATTTTGTGAAGCAACACCTCTTTTTCAAGATTTCAGTGATAATGGACAAAATTATTTGACGAATGGCCCATATCTTAATAAAAATCTGACATGGACCACTCTATACATTTGGGCCTGGAATAATGCCAATCTTCTCGCAACACAACAAGGCCAAATCCAAAATGTTAAAATCCCATTCCAAGCCCAATCAACCAATGGAAAATTGTCTTTTCCCCTTTCAAAACCCTAGCTGTCCTCTTGTCCACTGTCTCTATATATATCAAACCAAGTTGCTCAAGGAGAGTCTGTCCAGCTGCTATTCTCATACTCGACTCAAGAGAGGGCTCTTCGTCGCCGCCGCCACCACAGTCGCTAGGGTTCATTCAACCTCTCTATTCCAAGGTGGTAAGCAATCTAACATCGTCGGAAATTTGGCGTTTAGATCTGATATTGGGAAGAACTGGTTTCTGTAATAGGGCATATTCCTCAGCAGTTATGAATTTCAACGATCTGTCATTAACCTTATTGAAAGTAGCAACAAGATGCTTGATTAAGCTATCCTTGAATCTTTCATGTTGGAAACCTTGAATTATAGCTGCAATTCCCACGTCTTGGTTGAAGGAGTTGACTTTGAGAACTGCATCATTGAACCTACTCATGTAATTCTTCAGGGATTCTCCGTCCCTCTGTTTAACTCGTATCAGTTCAGAAGTAGTTTTCCTGCTCAACCTTATGCTGGAAAACTTTGTGGCAAAAGTAGATGCCATTTATGAATAAGAGCTGATAGATCTTGGAGACAAACTATAATACCAAGTTTGGGCATTACCACGGAGAGTGGAAGGAAAGATCTTACACATTAACGCATCAAAGGCGTTTTGAGCTTGCATACATGAATAGAAGGCATGGAGGTGATCATCGAGGTCTTTCGTCCCATCATATGTTTCGAGCTGAGGAATTTTGAAGCCAGTGGGATAAGGTTCCAATGTGATGTTGGTGTTCAGAGGATGAGGTATGGAGTCAGTATTATGGTGTAGAGGTGGGGCACCTCGTTGTTCAACTATCAGTTTTTCCAAACTGGCCAGACGTCGAGTGACATCATCAGGTGGAGGTTGTTGAGCTGGGGCTACGTGAGACTAGCCCTGAGACTCACTAAGGGTAGGTGCATGTTGAACTGGTTGAGAGACTTATGGTTGGGCTGGGGGTTGTGGAGCAAGGTTGAGTAAATTGATGAAGGGATCGGCAGGATTATTCTGAGCTAGAAGCTGAGCCAATACTAATTGAAAGACACCAAACTGTTGTTGCATGGCAGCAAGCTGAGCTGTAACTACATCTTAGTTAGCGGTGGAAGCTGAGTTGTGAGCTGAGTTGTGAGGTTGGTTTTCATCTCCTCTTTCGAGATGATCAACATGAGGGAACATATTTGGGATTTGAGGTGGAAGCTGAGGTGGAAGGTTGGTGGGGAGTTGACCTTGTCCAAGGGGTTGAGATTGATTTCCAGCTCGAACTGATCGAGTGTTAACCACGATGAGAGAGCAACAAGAGAGCTTTCAGTTTGGATTCCCACAGACGGCGCCAATGTAATTGCACCAAACCAGAAGTCCTTCTTCAGTCTGTGTCTTTACTTCGGATGAACCTGCAAAGCCCCGAGGTGGATCATCGGGGTAGACACTCCGATGCTTAAGTCAGCAATAATCGGGTCTATCTCTGAACTAATGAAAAAAAGAGCTTTAAGTTTGTTTCAATTACCTTTTTGAGGTGGCCCCTAGGGGTATTTATAAGCCTTTGTGAGGTATCCACGTGGCTTGCTTAGCAGGATAATCAGAGTGTGACGTGTTCCTTAAGGAGGTAAATTCGAGACCGGGGGTAAATTCGAGACCGGGAAATTGTGTGATAGATTAGGTGCGGACATGTCCACTGTATTTACCATGTAGCCATTTGACCGGAAGTGCTGGAATTAATCTCACTTCGGCTATTAAGGAATTGTTACAGTACGTCCGAGGTTAAGGATCTCGGACCTATCCTTACACCCCTAAACAGTAAAAGATCAAAAGTTTCAAATTTAAACTTTTTATAAATTTCTTTTTTACTCACTTTTCCTATTTTGAAAAGCAACTTTTAAATTTTCTCTTCAATAAAAATTTAAACTTATCACAAATGAACGGTACTTTAAAAATAAAAACTCCAACAAGCTGAACCAAACAAGTTCTAAGGAAACATGCATATTCCTCACAGTGGCTTGTTCATATTCTTCTTTCATCATTAGTGCCCTCTGCAAAATCCTCATAGGGCCAAGATTTTGTCCTTGAAAAATAGTGAGATTTCGATTTTTCCAAATACACTAATAGATATAGACCAATTCCTCCATTAAACCTTTCAATGTCCTGCCCCATTGATTATAAATAAGCAGCCACCGGTTCAAAAATTTTGAAATAGATGTAACCTGTGGTTGATATCCAAGTCTCGACAAAAACCAGACCCTAGTTGCCTGTGGACATGTAAAAAACATATGCATACTGCTTTCCTCACTTGAGTTACAAAGCAAACAAATTGAATTATTTATGATTCCTCTATGATAGATATTAGTTTTCACAGGCAAGGCATTTGACAAAATCCTCCACATAAAATGTTTAAATTTCGGAGGGACATCAAACTTCCAACATAACTTCCAAATGTTTCTAAAAGAGAAGCTAACCTGTTGAGCAGACGATGAAAATAAACACAGTCCATACTGGCATGCTACCTGATAGGCCGAACGGACAGTAAGTTGGCCATGCTTAGTAAAGTGCCAGACCAATTTGTCTGGAACAAGACCTGCTGGAATTTGGGCAATGGCCCTCACATCTTGTTTGGTTCAGAACTGTATTAAGCTATGAAACATTCCATCCATAAGAAGGGGTGAGGAATTCACACACTCTATAATTAAAACCAGAAGAAGGCTGTGGTGTAGTAAGCTCAAAGTTATCAGAGGAGGGAATCCATTTACTACGCCACAAGAAAATGTGTTTTCATTACCTAGATTCCACCAAACGCCCAGCTCAAGAATTCGCCTTCCTTGTAAAAGGCTGCGCCATAGCCAAGAGGGGGAAGGTCCTTCTTCAGCCTCTTGTCCTGCCAAAATTAATGCTTCCCTTCATTAAAAAAGAAAAAAGAACGGAATGCCTCATCCTTTTTCCTTTTTTTTTTTAATATTTTGTTTTTTGAACGGTGGAATTGCACGATAGGGGGAATAGTTACAATAATATTGTAGTTGCAGTTTGAACTCGACAAAGAGACCAGGGTTATTGGTTATTGGTGCACGCGGAATGCCTCCTTCCAATAACAAGTCTTTCTTGCCTCCTTCCATTAACAAGTCTTTCCTTTAAAACATGAATGATTTTATCATTTCCCAAATATTGTGGGGAAAATCGCATGCATTGGAACGGTAGCCCCTGTTTGGAACTGTAATTTCTTGTACAAATTGATGTTTGATAATCCAATAAATGGAAAATATAGCCCCTAAGAATTCAGGGTTCGTGAACTCAATTTTTCAACATGGCAGTTTGGGATTTACAATTATATTTAGTTTGACAGTACTGCCTGTAAGTAATTATAACTGTAGGTCTTTTTAGTTTTTTAATATCTTAAAATATATAAAATATATTTTAAATGTTTATTACTTATTTTAATTAATATTTTATATATTTTAAAAATAATAAAAACACATAAAAAGTAAAAAGTAAAGTATTGAAATCTGTTGTCAAATGAAACCTTATTAGCCAAAGTTCAATCTACTATAAAATTGAAGGGGTTATCTTAGTATGGTTGTAGTTTTTTGAATTTTTATTTAAATTTTTTTTTACCGATAATATTGTTCTATTTGAATCTAAACTCTTTATAAGAGTGGGGGGTATTTATTTTGAAAAATAATTTTTTAAAAAAGAGAAATTTCTTATCGCATAGAATTTTAATCTCTAAAATTTTCTTCCTTTCATTCTTACTTATCTTTTCTTTATTTTATGATAAGAACTAGATTTTGTTAAGTAACACTTATTTTTTTAAGATTTCAATGTTAATGGACAAGATTATTTGACGAATGGCCCATATCTTCATAAAAATATGACATGGACCACTCTATATATTTGGGCCTTGAATAATGCCAACCTTGTCACAACGAGGCCCAATCCAAAATGTTAAAATCCCCTTCCAAGCCCAACCAACCAATGGTAAAATTGTCTTTTCGCGTTTCAAAACCCTAGGTCTCCTCTAGTTCACTGTCTCTATATATATCAAACCAAGCTTCCCTACCAGCGTCTGTTCGGCTGCTATTCTCATACTCGACTCGGGAGAAGGCTATTCGCCGCCGCAGCCGCTAGGGTTCGTTCAGGCGCTCTATTCCAAGGTAAGCAACCTAACCTCGCCGGAAATTTGGCGTTTAGATCTGATATGGTTACTTCAAAACGTAGAAGATGTTGTTTTTGGTTGCCGAGAAAATTCTTTTGTAGATTAGTAAAGGATATGCTATACACAGTTCAAAAGATCTTTCGAAATCGTGATTAGCGTAGGAGAGATTGTGTTTGGTTGGCGAGAAAATTTTGAGGATTTGTTAAAACATATGCCATAAATTTTGGAAAAGAATTTGACATCAAGATTAAGTGGAAGAGATGTGTTTAGTTGCGGTGAAAATGTTGTAGATTAATGAAGGATATACTGTGAGACTCGAAAGAGGATCTGACATGGTCATTTTATTGTTGCTGTAATTAGGTTTTGTTTTTTTTTTTGACGGTATGTTTTGAATAAGTAGCTTATAATTTGCTTTTGAAACCGTTGCTGCTGCCTTCTTTCTGATTTTGCGAGTGTCTATGTGTAGCTATGGAAACTGCTCTGTCTCCTGCTAAGGACTCTGCACCCGGAACTGAGGTGAAGCTATTCAACCGATGGAGCTTTGATAGTTCTGAGGTGCTTCCTATGAACATTCTTGTCTTTGGTTATAATATATTTTTCATTCTAAATTTCATTCTGCTGATTTCTTGTACTTTTTTAGTTTTTATTTTTGCTAAACATTCTTGGATGGTACTCAACTACATGCTTGTTTACTGAATGATTTGTTTTGCTTTCTATCACATCTTGATAGCAAGTGAAATGGGTATCTAATTATGTGTATTGTGGAACGAACTGTCTAGGTCAAGGTCAATGACATTTCTCTTGAGGATTACATTGGAATCCAGCCAACCAAGCATGCTACTTATGTTCCTCACACAGCTGGGAGGTACTCTGTCAAGCGTTTCAGGAAGGCCCAGTGCCCAATTGTTGAGAGGCTTACAAACTCTCTTATGATGCATGGCCGAAACAATGGGAAGAAGCTGATGGCTGTTAGGATTGTTAAACATGCCATGGAAATTATTCATCTGTTGACTGATCTGAACCCAATTCAAGTTATTGTTGATGCTGTTATCAACAGGTGAGTTGATGAGTTAAGTTTTCTATCTTTTAAGTTTATGTGCCTTTTTCACATGTGTTGGATGGGGAGAACTTTGTAAGCTAGCATGCCTTTTTGTATATTTGTGGGCTACTGTAATTCTCTCAAATTGTTGTGTTTTTTTGAAGTCCCTTTTGAATTTTTTTTCATTGTGCAGTGGACCTCGTGAGGATGCTACTAGAATTGGTTCTGCTGGTGTTGTCAGGCGTCAGGCTGTTGATATTTCCCCTCTTCGACGAGTTAACCAGGCCATCTATCTCCTCACCACTGGTGCTCGTGAGGCTGCTTTCAGGAACATCAAAACAATTGCTGAATGTTTGGCTGATGAACTCATTAATGCTGCTAAGGGTTCATCTAACAGGTAGACATGGCCTCCTTATTATCTTCATAATTTCTTGTGCATGTTCACTTGTTCTTCCTGTTGATGTTGATTTTATCTTTTCACTCTCAGCTATGCAATCAAGAAGAAGGATGAGATTGAAAGAGTTGCCAAGGCCAACCGTTGAAGAGGAGTCAAGATCTTTTTGGTGTTTCCATTCAGTACTTAAAAATGTTTTCTGTTTAGCTGAAATGACATGTTATGATTTAGCTTCTTCTTTGCAGTGGGAGTTTACTTCCTTTTTGTTGGAGTTTCATTAGTAATCTTATATGTTTAAGTATGAATTTTACTTTTTAATGAGACATGCATGAAGTTCATGCTTTATTTTGAGTTCTATCCTATGAAGATTGGTGTTGAGCAAGTGTTTCAATTGAACTCTTTGCATGTCTAGTGCTTGATAGCCTAATTGAACTTGTTAACTTTTTTGCATGGCTATTGAGCCTTCATGCTCTAGTTCGGTCTTTGTTGAAGTTCTTATGGTTATACCAAATGAAACTTGTTATCTAGTCTAGCGTGAATTTGACCTGCCTTCCTACCCTGTATCGCCAAATTTCAGTTTAATTGAAACAAATCGGTTAAGGAACGGAAATCTGTAGCCAATTTCATTAGGCTGATTGAGTTGTTATCTACGAACTTTGTACAAAACAAAGAATAACTGGACGAAGAACTCCCATCCAATAGTATAAATTAAATTGCCTCCTTCGGTCCAAAGCTTGATTAACCTACGCTCGGAGTTGAATTGGCAGCTGGCTTTATAAGTCCAAACGCACTCGTTATCGAATTCACTATTTGGTTGGAAGTTCCAACGAAATTCTTCCAAACCAAATCTTCACAACGAAAAATCCCTCCATTTCGACGTAGGAAATGCGATCTAACATTGTCTCAGAGGTAAGCGCCAATCTATATTTCCAGCAGTTTCTTCACTGATATTTTTTTTGGTTTTTACTAGTGTTGTTAATGACGAGTTGCTCCGATCTTATCTCACTCCCAGTTTCCTGATCTATCTTGCTCTCACTTTCCCTTTCTGTTTGGTTACTGAGAAAGTGAAAGTATAGAGCTGGGAATTTAATGAATCCGAAAATTCAACAAGTTACATTGAAATTAGTTGACTGCTTTCAATTTTACTTGGTAGGGTTAAGCTTTTACTTCTAGACAAATATACTGATCTGATTGATCTTTGCGTTTGCTTCTCCACAACGAGGCTGGTTTCTAGATTTTGAATTTTTAGCTTGAAATTTAGAACTAGAAGTTAACAGAACTGAGTGGAGATGCAGGGAGTTGAAATTTGTTTAGATTGCTTGCATTTAGAGTTAGGATGTTTCTTAAGAAACCTGGGCCACTTGAGTTTCTAAAATGAGCTAAAATACTTCCAAATTAATATTTTGAGCATTTGAGCTGTATGAAGCTTATTTCGAATCACTGTAAAGTGCTATAATTGTAACTTTTTGAATATTCTACTCTCACAAAATTGAGTTATTGTTTGATAATTACTTCAGAAATAGTGTCATACATCAATATAATTACTAAATTATGCAAAACATCAATTAAAATTAATTTTAATCATGATCCTTTAGTACTTTTAATGAGGTGCTGTGTGAAAAAACACTATGAAACTGTAACACCAAACACAACCTAAGATCATAAAATTATGAATTCAATAATGTTCAAACACAACTGCAACATGGTTCTATCAAATAAGAATGATACTATACATACATAATGTTACAGCTTACAACAGGTTTGATATGATACAATTTTGGAGTTTGAATTCCAGACATAAGCTCCAAAATTATTGTTTTAAAGTTATCTGGGACCAACTCGGTCATACCTTTCTTGGTGATGCTGGAATGCAAAGGATTCCTTATATCGATGAACATCCATCCTAGGGTTGTGGTTTTCCTTGTTATTTTGAGGCTTAGAAAATCCAGGAGGTGCAGAACTAGACCCCTCTGACATCCTTATTCTTCTATCCATCTTACCATACTGCAAACAATCAATCAAGGACACTAATTTTATTATTCTATAAGCAATTCTTCTTTCTTTTCATCTGTGTAAAAGTGTGTGATAGCAATAAGCAACCATTCTAGTTAAAACAGCTCTAAGATCACTACGACAAACCTTTCTATAAACATTGCATCTTCTTGCAAAATGCCCTTCCTCTCCACACCTGTAGCATGCAACATGGGTTCTTCTGCCCCTCCTGTTTCCATGCTCTTCACAATCCTGGTAGAATAACCTCCATGAGATTTGCTCAATATATATATATTTGTAAAAATCTCAGAAACTTAATTACGATGAACGAAGTATTACTCAGTAGTTGGTACTTACATCACCTAAATGACCAGAATGGCCGCAATTGTAACAGGAAATTTCTCTTGGACCCGTATCAGGAATGTTGACACAGCAGAGATGACCAAAACTTTTGCACATATAACATTGTATTTTCTGCTCAAAAGATAACAATGAGTTTGGTCGTCACCCAAATATATAATGTTTGGGGGCAAAATTGACATGAAAAGTTCATATGGAAAAGCATTGGTGAAATGAAAAATACATTGATATCATCCTGAGAATAATTGCTTCTACATGAAAACATATCATGCCCCGCATTTCCACACCTTAAGCAAATGTTGGAATCACTCTTATGATGGACTCTTTCCGTTCTTATGAGGTGATTTTGCACCTGCACAAATGTGAAAATGGTCTCCATAAATCAGGGATCAATTAAGTAGCTTTAAGAAAGAAATCCCAAATGAGCTTGTGGTTATTTTCCAATCTGGACTTGCACCCTCAATACCCCATCTTCATACCATCAACTAGATTTTTTAGGAGATTTTATCAATCACAAAAATTCACGTCCAATGCTAAGTGATATGCAAAAAAAATGCCACTACACCTTTCGGCAATGTTTCCCATTGTGCTGCAAACTCCCACACATGTAGCATGGTTTCTTCCTTTCCAGTATACAGTCTGCTGCTTCATGATATCCTCCACCACATTTACAGCATGCAACCCAGCTGCCATCTGGAGAATCAAAATATCTTGGTTTCCGCTAGAGAAATGAAGAGGAGACAGAATAAGGACTCATCATAAAAGCCAATATTTTGATGCAGCATCTTAATATGGATCCTCAACTCACAAGAAGACTTTGTAGAACAATGTTCTCAACTTGTCTTGCTTCTGGTGGTGTCATTGTTTCTGCGTCTTTACATTTCTCCACCTGCTTTCCTTTCTTTCCAACATCAACTGGTTTCATTCTTTCTACAACTTTATGTTTCTCTGCCTGCTTTTCCGCTTCAACACCTTTATGTTTCTCTGCCTGCTTTTCTTCCTTTCTAACAACAACCTGGCATTATAGGCATTAATTTCAAACAACAGAAAATCCACAGAATAATACAGACCTTTAATGTGTAAACTTTACATCTATATGTAAGCTATAAAGAATATGAAATTTTGATTAGGCATACAAGCAACCAAGGCAAAGCCAATTGCATTAGCACACTTCAAGAAAGATTTTAATGGGAAAACATTGCTAAAATATTGTAGAATGGTATTTCAAACAAATTGAGGGTGATCTCTTAATGCAAACTAGATTTGTATGGAAGCATGTATCTGAAATGCATCATGAAAAAAATGAATGAAGTCAAGCATAATTATCTAATAGGAATTTGAAAAATAGAAGTTGAATAAACTTTACATTATTCTCTGTTAGAATGATATTTGGCTCCATTCTTCTTTCAGTCTTGTTTTCTTCATTTAGAACTGTTGGCACTAATATCATTTCTCCAGTACTTATGCTGGAGATCACATTTGAAATCAATCTATCATCCTTTGAAGATGAAGAACAAAGATCAATATCCTTTGTAGAGTCAATCCCACCAACATTTTCTTCTGATCTAGTTTCCACTAGTTTTGCAGTTTCTACTAGCATATTTACCTCTGCTGCATCAACCTGAAGAGGACCAAATTCATAAAAATGTTAATTATGTTTTCCTATTTGTTGAACAAGGATAAAATCAATGGCTGTCCAATCTTTTCATCTATTTCAGCATTTTCTATCTCACAATCACAACTATAGTGAACAAAGTGCTCATACAAAGGGGTTAGACAAACTCACAACAAGCTTCTGTGGTTCATCACTAGTTGTAGTTGATTTCTGGATAGATTCTATCTCAGAGATATCAACTATATCTGCAGTTTCTTCTTGCAAAGTTTGCTCCCCATCCATTGGAACATTAACCTACATCCATAAAATATGTTTAGCTACCCAAATCCAAGCATCCAAAAATAAGAAAAACAACAATTCAATAGGTAAAAATTCTGAACAAAATTCACAGGGAGATGATACATACATTAAATGGATAAAGTATAACAATATAG